ACTACATAAATCCTGCTTTGTGTTTTATATTTATTGCTCTGCTCATCTTATCTGGTTACACTCCTCTCCTACGAAGAGTTACTCGTGTCAACTTCAGTCAGGGAGACAATTCACAATGCACAACATCCAATACAAGTTTGAGAAGTTCAGAATTAAAATCTTCTCTCAAGGACCACACTGCACTAATTACATTGTCCATGCTGTAGCATTAAGGTCTTAATCCAAACCTGTGTATTAAGTTACTAAAGTATCATACTTGTCACAGTAAAACTAAGTCAGTGCCTGCCCTTTCAAAGAGGGAAGAAAAGATTCATATCAACACAAACACCACCACAAATGCTACCCGCAGTGAAAGTAACAATTGAAAATGATGTACAAAACTACTGCATATGCTTTTTTCTTGTGAAAAAAATTCACATTGAATCAGAGACAGTTGAAAAATTGAAATAGAAAACACACAAATTTACTATTTTGCAACTTTTGAACTACAATTGCTAGCATTTTCCTGATAAATCAGTGCTCTGCCAAAGAAAAAATTAGTTGCAACAGTATTCCTCTCTTGATAGTATATGTAATTTCTTCAGCAAAATTCAATTCTGCATTTTATTGTTTAATTGATCTTAAAGTCTACCTGCAATTTCAACTCTACTGTCTCTTTTCAAAAAGGAATGGCAAGGGTAGAGAACAAAAGTTGTGCCATGTTGCTCTAATTTTAATCAAGAAGGGTGCATATTGGCCACAACTGAACCAACTACCACCCACTCACAAACCAAAGCATGCTAATTCAAAAATCAAGCCATGCCGAAGTTACCACTACACTGATTCTTCAGCAGGTACCTGCACAAGCCTTCAACACGTTATTTATTACATTTTAACTAATGTATTTGAATACTGAAATAACAGAGGGCAATGGTGACCGTTTCTGACCAGCTGGCAAATATATGGGAATAGAGGAGCAGTTGTCTTTATTAATGCAGATAATATAGGAAGTACCACAAACCATTCCCACAGAACATGCTTAAAAAAACAAAACTCCAGCATTCTGAAGCCTTAGCATAAGCAATTGCAAGAGCGATTCACACACACAATTCAACTGAAGTCAAGAGAATGAAGCTTAAATATATGAGTACATTTTAGCATTACAACTGACATGAACAGCATATAAAAAACACACTGCCACATAATTTCAAGTTCTAATGAAAATTACTATAATTCTGTAATTTATACATTAAACCAATATGAATAAAGGGATTAAAAATAATAAAATAATAATAAAATAATAATAAAATCTTAGCATTTAGAGACCACTAACCCCTGCCTTTAAGTGTACACATTAGTCCAGGAATATCGCCCTTTGCCATAGACTGAAAAGAGTTCTTGCAGAAAAGGAACATGTTCTAAGACTATTATCTGTTATTTAAACATGAACAGGAAGAAAAAAATTACAAGAGGTATGGAAATTCCAATTTTGAGGCTAGAAAAGATCATGATAATCATATGGATTAGTTTCCTAAATGCTGCAGATGAGACAACTCCACAATGTAGCGTTACTTCACTGTCACGCTTCTTGTATTTACGCTGTAGCCAATCCTTCAGCCAGGTATAAAATCCTTAGCTAGAAATTTTGAGGAACAAACTCCTTACATCTTAATACCTTTGTTATAAATGCATGGTTTGCTTCCAGACTGAAATTATGCAGGGAAAATAAAGGATGGAGCACAAAACACATCAAAGAAAGATGAATCCCAGGCAACAACGTTGAGAGGCTATCAAAACAGTCCTTACACTGGAGAAATCCAAATTGCTGTATTAAGGAAAAAAAACAGTAACCACATAGATGTAGAATCTAAGAGTCTAGAGAAGAAGCCAACTGTTCTCTCTCAGAAATACAGAACTAGGAACTTGCTCTGACCCTTGTATACAAAGTCCATACATTTTGATCTACATCAATACCTTACTCCTGATACAGCAGCACATCACCACTCTCAATGGTGACCTAAGCAGTGGAAACAGAAAAAAACACTTCTTTTCCCCTCCTTAACTATTAGAACCTAAATAAAAGTCATCTTACTGGAAAGTTATTTTCTGCATCCTTCACTAAGAGATCTGAATTTCATTTAAAAGTATGCACTTTATGTTAAGGTATAATGCATTAACAGTTACTCTTAAGCTTTTGTGTATGTATTTTTGCCTGTTAATCATGAAAACAAGTGTCTTCATGAGCAAAAAAGATAACAGGATAGAAGAGGCATTTCCATGCCTCAGAATTCCTAGAGATAATTTATCCATGGGTTATGTCCCACAAGGCAAAATATTGAGGGTTTATCACTACAAAACCCATGAAAACAGTTATGTATGACCTTCAGAAATATCTGATGAATAAAAATTGGTGTCTTCAAATGTAATTCCACTCTGTAAACCCAATATAAAGCAGAAAAATTATTTACACTGACTGCATTTTGAGGTTTTGGTTACTCCACATTCCTTCTATTGGTATTGTGCTACACCCTGAACTAAATTCAAATTCTTAATACAAGGCTCCTTCTCACACTCCTATTTCTAAAGTTTCTTACACTAAGCCCCATGAATTCCAATTTAAAAGCTTCAGCTTCTCTTCATATCTCCTTTTACTCTACCTAGGCACTTCAAATTTTTTCCTGCTGCCCCTGTTATTAAGAAAGTCAGGGACACTTTCCAATTGGTTCAGATATCAAGCTACTTCAAGCATACTGGAAAAAAAATCTTTAAAAATGGCCAGAGGTACAATTTCACAAACTTAAAACGATACAAGAATGTTAAGTGTACATCAAACCCTACATCTCTATTACAGGCAATTGATAAACAGTAGACTGGTTTGGCCACTAGTTAACTAATTTCCTTTTTTAAAATTAACTGTTTAACAGTTGATCACAACACAGATTATACACACCACCTTTCAGCCACTTCCCAACAGGGTGAACTAGGACTTCATGGTATGATATAACAGTAAGGCATCTGCTCAGAATATCACCAGTTCCTAGAACTCAAAACCACTCAATATTATATATTACTGAACTACAAACTTCAGGATGAACATACAATTTTTGTTTGTTTAAGAGAAGTTGACTCTGCAGTGCTCTTCCTGATCTCTTTCTCCTTCCTTCCCTTCTCCTACAAGATAATTCTATCATTCTCCTCTCAGTTCTTTTGTCTTCCTTAACTCTTCCCTTTCATTCCCTACATTCACAGGAAGTGTATCAAACTGAATGCTTTCCTGGTAGTTCTTCTAAAAATCTACCTCTCTGTTACTTCTTGGAAATCCATTTACTCTTCCTGGTTGCCAGCCTCCTTGACAGGCCTAGTTCTAAATTACAACCTAAATCATCCCACCCTTATTTCTCACTTTCAGTTTTTCTACAACACAAACAACTTTCCCTCCCTCCCTCCCCAACTCACTTTTATCCTCTCTCTACATCAAACTGGAACTTCTCACCTTCACTTTCCAGGCTGCAGTTCTAACCCTGCCCAGCATGGTTTATGTCTCCAACACCTGACAACAGCCTGTATTTCACTAAATACTCTTTCCTTAGAAATGACCTGGAAAGGAGAAAACCACCAGGGTTCTTTTTGCTTCCTTATGATGAAAACTTGACAGGTTCATCAATAGAAGCCTGATTCCTTTTGGGTCTCCAGCTTCTGAGATACCTGTCTGAGATAGGTTATCACAACTTCTGCAATAACAGGCCATCAATGAGGTTTATCGTTTGTAGGAACAGCTCGCAAGTGCTTCCTGGATGACTCAAAATTACACATAAGGAATCTTAAGTGATCAGGGTGAAAGTGCTACCTATTCAAATGAAAGCATAAAGAGAAAACAAGTGTAATAAATAATTTTAAGAGTTATTAAGCATCTTTCCTCTCCTATAACTAAGTCAAAATACTTCTGAGGTTGTACTTTTTAACAGCACTCCAAAAATCAATCGTTAAGCTTTCTTCAGGTCATAAAACCAGCAACAAAACACACAAGGCCAGCTAAGCTTCGGTCATCTTATGGTGCCTCATTTTACGTGCACGTCAATGCCTTCCATACCCAGAGGCCCTCCCAGACGCCGGGACACGGACAGCCCTGTGCAGCCCTCCACCTCCGGCAGAGCCCACCTGAGCCCGGACACACCTCCTGGGATCCCCCCACACCACCCCGCCTTGCGCTGATTTACGTCTGCATTCGCACCAACTCCTCCCGGGCCGCCAGAGATTTTAGAAGGCAAAAAAGCGAAACTGGACCCGCCGCATCGGCCCGGGCCCTGCCCCGTCCCCCGGAGCGGCCCCAGACCCGCCGCGGGGGCGCGGGGGGCCCACCCGGGGCGTTCCCTCCCGCCGGGCCCTGCCCGTACCTGTCCATGGTCTGCGGCAGCGCCAGGCCCGTCTGCTCGGCCATGGCCCCGGGCGGCGGAGCGGGCCCAGCCGAGGGCCCGGAGCCTCACAAAGGCGTCACTCGTGCGGCGGCGGCGAAGGGGGAGCGACGGAAGGCAGCAAACCCGCCCTTCCGCGGGGCGGCCCCTCCTCCGGCGGGCGGGAGGCGGCGCGGGGCCGGTGGCTGAGGCAGGACGGGGCGCCCGGGAGAGCGGCGAGCGCTGAGCGCAGCCGCCCGTCACCGGTGCTCGGCAGCGCCTGCGCCACAGGGAACGGGCGGCGTGTCCCGGGGCGCCGGGAGCTGTAGTCCTGCCGCAGTCCTGCCGCCGGGAGCTGTAGTCCCGCCGCCGGCGCGGGTTTAAAGGTCCGGCGGGGCGCGCCCCCTCCTCTCTTTCCCCTTCCCCGCAGCGCCCCTGCCCTGCCCATGTCTCTGCTCGCCGCCGTCGCGCAGTCGCTGCCCGGCACCGCGCGCGGGGCAGGTACGGGATACGGGACCGCGGGGGCTCCGCGGGGGGAAGGTCCGCGCCCGGCGGCCGCCGCCTCCCCCGCCGCCCTCCGCCGCCGCGCCGGGACCCCTCTCGGGAGAAGGGAGGGAGGGAGGGAAGGAAGGAGGGAGAAGCTGGGCCGCCTCATCTGCCCGCTCCCGCAGGGAGCCCCTCGGGGCAGGAGCATCCTCCTGCACGGCCCCTGCCGGACAGGTGCAGGCGGACACCCCCGGCTCGGCCCGCCGGGCCCCGGGCCCTGCCCTCGGGGCGGGGGGGACCCGGCCCGGTGCCGGCCCGGACGGGGCTGCCCCGAGGGGCATCGAATGGAACGGTGAAGGGGAAGTTAATCCGTGCCCGTGGGCTTGTTGTCAATGACAAGGAAGAGCACCCGGCGCCCTTGTAAGTGCTCCTGGTGCTCGGCAGAGGCCCGGTGACCGCTCGCTGCTGTGTGCGAGTGGGCTGAGGCGTGGGGCAGCCGGTGGTAATGGCAACGCTCTCAGCCGGGCTTGTGGGCGTGCCTCCAAATGGGGAAAAAATCCTTCTAAGGTGCTTTTAACATTTGTTGTACGTTCAGAAGTCGACATAGAGCATCACAGTCTGGAAAACTGGAAATTTAGATGTTGAAAAGCCTTTAGAGAGCCGAGAGGTGGATAGCACCTGGAGAGAAGTTGCCTTTTCATTTGCCTCCACCATGGGTATCCGTCTCCTGCCCTTGCGTCATGTTCCCCAAGCAAAGGGCAATGTCTTGTTTTTCAGAGGCTGTTGTGACATTACAGATTCTTGGAAAGGTTAGCTAGTAGAGATCAACTTTGAACTTTTTGGGTTATATTTTTAATGAATAGTAATAAATTTTGTTACATGAAACTAGTTCCTCATACCTTGTGTAAATTACCACCTTATTATACTGCATTTGCTGTACAAGGTAGTAATTTAAAGGGCCAAGCCCGGTATGCAACTATAAAGCTGCATCAACCCACATCTGTTCTTGGCTGAGACCAAGCGTTTGCATGGTGGACATGTCTATAGAGGTCAGGCAGAAGAGGAAGGGAACATACTGGATTCTTTGATGTGCTGTCTTAGCTAGGGACAAATCAGTGTGGTTTTGAAAGTCTTTGTTGAGAGAAAAGTGTTGTCAAAAGGTGTGTGAAACATCTAGGCTTGGATTTGTAAGTTGCATTATGTGTATAATAGTAGGGTTATGCATAAAGGTAGGGAGGGTGTTGTTTATTTTCTAATTGCTACAAATACCATGAGCAGGACTGCTGAAGTAGTTACAGTGATGCAAATGTTCCTTATAGGAAGCGTGTATAGAAGTGGGGAGGAAAAAGGTGTTGACATCCTGTCACAGAAAATTTATTTTGTATTTATTCTTGGGACCATAAAATTCAGTGTTGCTTGCACTGCTGAGGAGTCTTGGATGTACAGTGGCTTGAGTAAACCATATGGGCATGACTTCCTGGAAGAGAACATAATACACTCTGTCCCAATTACAGCTGTTTGTGACATGTAAGAGCAATATTAGATATCAAGCAAGTCTAGTTCCTATTCTTGGTCTAGACTAAGTGCATTGTCTATTGTCCAAAACAATGATCAGCTAGACTAGCCAAATGTTTAGAGGGTTTATATCTATTATATTTATTTTTTTATATTTATTCTCAAGTGTTACAAATGGAAATAGGGAAGCAGATTTTATTTCTAGGATTATGTGGTTTGTGCAAATTCTGTGGTTTTGCTCTGGAGTTGGAAAGATATGCTAGCTGCCTGCCATTTATGATAAAGGTCATGATGAGTAATAATGGCTGTGAACTATACTTACCTGAAGAAGTAGAACCAGAACCCAGGATCACTTGGCTACCATTTGAGGCTAAGGAATGGTCTCTGACAAAGGTGGCTGCTTTGCTCTACCACTGGCACAAGGAGATACGACAAGACTGGACAAAACTTGAATATCAGGTCAAATAGTGAACACTTGGTAGGTTTGGACATATCTTTTTTTTTAATCTATTTATTTTCCCAAACATGAAAAGCAAAAGCATAATAGGATGCATAAAAACATAAGTGAACAAGCATTAATGGTTTTAAACTGAAAGAGGGAAGACTTAGAGTGAATATAAGGAAGAAATGTTTTACAATGAGGGTGGTAAAACACTGGCACAGGTTGCCTAGAGAGGTGGGAGATGCCCCATCCCTGAACGCATTCAAGGTCAGGTGGGACTGGGCTCTGAGCAACCTGGTCTAGTTGAGGATGGCCCTGCTCATTGCACGGGGGTTGGACTAGATGATCACTAAAGGTCCCTTAGAACCCAAACCATTCTATAATGGCAGACCTCTTAACATCCCTTACAGATTCTGAAATCTAAAAACTGATTTGTGCCTTTGTGCTGTTCAGGAGTCTGTTGGACAGCTTGGGGTATGTGTTCTCCTTTTGTCTGCTCTTCTCAGAGTCAAAGTGTGATCCTAAAATACATGAATAACCAACTGTTTTACAATCCGAGAAAAAAACCCTCCTTATTGTCTGATAGAGGAAGAGTTGTCATTCCACCCTTATCTCCTTAACAAGACTGGATATGCAGCTGGTCTATTCAAATGCTTGCTTTATTATCCCCTACAATCTCCTCCTTCACTCTCCCTCATCCCGCTTTTCATTTTCTTTCCACTTCTTGATCTTTGTGCTTCCTTCTTTTCATTGGCAATTTCCACTATAAATCCCAGGTTGCCTCTTGCAGTTTTTTCACTTTTAAAACTCTTGCTTCCCATATCATCCCTTAACAGATCCTTCTTTGTTTCTTCCTTCTGCTTCCGTGGTGTTAATTGCACTGTCTCGCTCTGTCATCTTTTACCTTCACCTGGTAGTACCTGCATTTGAACCACGAGAGAACTCTCCTGGGAGCAGACTCTGTTTCACCGCTGCAAAGTGAGGGAAAGTGGTTGCTACTAATGGAGATTTGCCAGAGCTCAGCCTCCCTGACACTAGCTGGAGGCATCAGCCATTTTGAATTAAGTAAAACTGCACATTTGAAGGCAAGTAGAGAACTTAATGAAAATCACCAAAAGCAATAAAAGCTATTTAGGGCTTAAAATTGAGCCCTAAATTTGGCCATGAGATTTACTGCAAAATATCAGCTTTTGAGATGCTAAATCGTTTGATAACAAATTTATACAGATTTAAGTTTAATAAAGAAGTTGATGAGCAATTACTGCAATAACGATATGGAAGTAGATTAAATATTTATCTGGTTATTTCAGCAAGGCCTGAAAAAGAGGAAAAATAATTACGAAGCTGTACCTTAATATAGTTCTTTTGATGTGACAGCATTAAGACTGTTGAAATTATTCACTGTTTTCAACAAAGCTAAGTAATCTGACAATATCAGAGTATTCTATTTTGGCAAAACTAAATTTTAATTATGATAGTAATATGTAAAATTAAACTATAAGATCAATTAGGCATTTTTTATCTACTGATTTCCATTTTTTAAAAGAGAGAGAGTCCTCAATTAAGCTAAAATGAAACTGATCTAAACTGAGAAAAATGTTTCTACAACAAAACTTTTTTTCAGTAGCATAACACTTCATTTCAACTGTCAAGCTAGTTTGAATAGTCACTTTCTTTCAAAAAGACTAGCAAGGTTTGTTAGTCATAGGAGGCTTAAATTGCTTCATAATGAATTTCTTAAAATAAAAACACACTTAGTAGAATGTTAATTGACTTAGCTAGGCTTTTCTTGGCCTTCTTATATTTGTTTCTTTGGAACTGGCCTAGGTCAAGTAATTCAGATACCAGATTGAATTAATAAGCTCTTATGTTCTGATTCAGCTGTTATCATCTTTTAACTTCCAGTTATATAAGAGTTGGTTGGTAGAAACAACAGCAACAACAACAAAAAACGTTTTTCTGCTACTGGCTAGTCGATCAAAAACTGCATTTGCATCCTGGTTTTCTTTGGTTTTGGAGTGCTTCTCCTTATCCTAATGCTTGATCTACAAAGCGAACCTGTCTCCTGGGAAGAACTGACAGAATCAGTGCCTTCCACGTGAATCCTCAAGTCATCTGAAAAGCAATAATCCAGAAGTAAATAGTGACATAAAGGGGGGATATAGAATGCCTAGAGCCAGCCCTGTGATAGCTGGGGTAGTTCATGAAATTAAGTCTTTTTAATTGCTGTAAGAAAGCAGTTTTCAACTGCCTTTAATGATTCAGAGTAGCACAAACAGGTTAGAGCAAGTGTTGAGAAACTCTTAATTACAGCATTGATTTAGGGCAGGCAGACCATACAGTCCAACATAAACAGACTGCAAAAAGCAGAGGCATGAGTGTTATGAAAACTCACTTTCAACTGCCCTATTTTTTATTTTTTCAGCTTCAGTCTTCTCTCTTTCACCTACAAGGCTATGCATAATTCATCCTTTGAAACTCAGCCTGCACTTTTATTAAACAGTTATTTTCACACTTCTGATTTCAGCTATGTAATTTTCATACAAGCATTAGTATTTAGTCCCAAATAATTAGTATTATGAATAATTACCCAGAATAAATACACAGAATGGGCTAGTGCAAAACAGAACCAAGTGTCAAGGAATGAAATTCTGCAGACTTTACCCAACCTGCATTAATCATCACAATATTAATATCTTACGAGAGGAACTCCTGTCAGGCTGTATATTGATGTAGAGCCTGGACATATGTAGATAGTAGGTAGTGAAAGGGAGGTGGTTGAAATGTGGACCCACGGTGCACAGACTAGATGAAATGTTAAAAAGTAAAATTTGGACCTTGCTTTTTTTCTTTGCAGCTTATTTTTTTTGGTAGAATTTTCAGTATAATCAGTAATGAAAAAGTTGGAACTTGGAAATAGGAAACTCAATTGGAAATTCAAATAGTACAACTTTTCACCTATGCACTGATTTTGATTTGTTTTAAATTTTCATACTTGACCTACTTGTGTTTGAGTTTCAGACTATTTTGAGAAATCATATTAGGTGATTATTTAATATTTTCTTCAGCTAAGGAACATGGCACAATCTCCTTTGTAATAGCTTTAAATTTTATAGCTCATATGAACTTATAATTAATTTTTTATACTAGGAGCTTGGAAGGGAATTTTGGAAATACTAGAATTATTTATTTGTCTAGAAGTTTTTCTGAATAGGTGGCTAATTGATCTGGGCTTATAAATCAAGCTGTTTAAAGCTCTTACTTAGTTCCTCATTTTCAGCTCAGTATGACAGATATTTTCTCAGAGCTGGTGATTCAGACTGCAGCAGTTTTCCCTGGAAAGAGGGAGTGCGCACATATTTTTTTTTTCCTTTCCGAGCTCTTTTCCTTTCAGGATAGGCAGCCGTGAAATGCTGTGCATAGCTAAGACTTCAACCCCCATGATTCCTTGGGAGAGCATGCGCTGAGAGCTTCCAGTTGTCAAAGTGCTCTTGCCCGAATGGTCGACAATTTGTCATATAGCAAACCCGAAAGAAGAAAATAAATATACTGTCCTTTTATTGATCTTTAAATACTGAAAATCCAAAGGTAACTGTTCCTTAAAAATTTCTGTGTTGACTGCGTGGGTTACTGCATGCAAACAGAGCTGGTATTGCTGTGGGGATATAGATTTCCTGTACTGGATTGTAAATTTGTAAAAATACTTACACCAGCAAATAATCAAGAGGTACTGCGTAGTAGTCCAACACTAGACATTGTCTGGCCTGTCTTTCAAAGTCATTCATTATCCAGTGTTTTTCCATTCAGACTGGCTTCATTCATTAAAGGTAGGTCTTGACCTTGACAAGAGGGTTGAACTGCGCTGTGATTTTTACCTTTAAGAGGCAATATGAAAGGGAATGTGAATCACAGTCCTTAGGATAAAGTTCAAAACCAGCTAGCTAAGTCAAGGTACATATTTGAAGCAACTGCTGTGCTAGCCACTATAGATAACCTGGTGACTAACTGATTTAAATATACTTTATTGACGACAGAATTTTAACATTTCATCTGCTATGTTTTTATCCCTAAATGTATTTTTATACTGATAGCTCAGAACCAGGGTAGAGGGATACATATAATCCTTTTCTCTCTCTGATGTGGAACCATGAGTAGCTTTATGTAGCCTTAGGAGCAATAGTGATTTTTGGTAGAAGTGAAGCTAATGGAAAGTTACACAGAGCTTGGTATGTTCTGGCTTACTGCAGTATTGCTTTAAACTGCCTCACAAGGTTCTCTGCGCTCCCAGCAGCAGCAGCAGTGCTGCCTGGTACAGATGCAATAGTTTAGTCCGTCCTTCTTAGGATCTTGCTTTAATATTGTCTCACTGTTTAGTCTGTTCAGGAACCATTGCTGCTCGGTTTACATATTGAACTGGTAAATAAGGGGGAGCATAAGCAGTAGCTTAATTGATAGCAGAAACCTCTCCTGACGTTGATTTTAACTAAAACGTGTGTGTATGGCTCAAAAAGATTTAAAAGAAAGAGAAAAGGAAAAAGAGATGTTAGATACACAAAGACCATCTGAAAACCGCTGATGTCAGGAAGGACAGTGTCGACAATTTCATGCTTTGCCACCTTATTTAAACAGTCGATCGATTTGGCTTTACTTTGTTACATTAAAACAACAATCCTAAAAATGCAGTCTTAGGCATATTCATGTCATATGATTAACTCAATAGAAATGCAATTAGGTATCAGTGATGGCCATTTTTTACTTAGTTACTCAATTAAACTGAGTGATTTGGGGCTCATTTAAAATACTTTTGAGATTTAGAATGATCTCTTCAGTTGACTAAAAGCCTGCAAAATGTTGATGTTCCTGTTGTGATTTCGTACAATTGCTGTTAATTGATGTCTGTATTGCATTAGTACTATTGTGTTTCAAAACAATAATAAAATTATATGATCTTTTTCATATAAAGCACCTTTTCTAGCAGATATAAGACTCAATCGTTCCACGTTTACTTTTTCAAGCTTAAAATTATGTATTGATTTAAAAAAATAATTTGCATCACTAGTCTTTGTCTTGTGCATATAAAGATGTTTTTTAACATGCAGCCATGAATGCATGTTAGGTATTTCGATTTCCCCTGGGTTTATTTTTCATTTGAAAGCAACAGAAACATCATAGTCTAGTAATAGCTCTCAGATCTACTCCTTTTGACGTTATGTTTTTCTAATGAACAAATTACCGATGATTTTAAATAAATAAATAAATAAATAAACAGAGCGAGCAGATGAGTGCTTTAATGTAAAATAGCACTTTACACGGAGAGATCGTAAGGTCACGAAGGCAAATAAAACACCCATCGGAGGCTTTGTACGTGAAGTGTCTCCACCCCCCGCTCCCTCCTTTCCCCCGGCGCTGCCATCGCCCCTCCTGCCCCGAGCCGGCAGGGAAAGGGCAGGAAACGATTGTGCAGCGAAGAACCTCTCCCGTATCAGTGCGAGCTGTCGTGTGTGCTTTCTCTCTGATAAATCTAAATCACTGAAAGCTTGTTTGTTAATTAGGAAAAATCGGTACCCGGCTCCTTTAAAGGTCCCCTAATAGAAAAGGGGGTGGAGAAGAGCGAAGACTGGTGTCTTTTTAACCTTGCTGAAGGACGCAGCAGTATTTATTGACGTATGCAAATAACCAGGGGGAGGAGGTGGAGGAGGAGGAGGGTGCTTGGAAAAACAGGAACCAGAATCAGTTTCTCATTGCAGGGTGAGAGCTCTGAGTTCCGGTGTAAGAGAAAAGAGACGTGGCGAAATTGCTGTATATCTCTGCCCTATAAGCACATCTCTCATTTAGACTGAAGGGAAACAAGGCATCAAAAAGGGTGAAGCATCTTAAAAAATCTTCTAAAGGCAATCTGGCACGATCAAAGGTTACATATTCCTAAATGGGGGAGGGGGAAGATTACGGGTTTGCCTTGCGATTTGCTGTAGCATAGTACTAGCAATAGGACGAGATTTTTTGCTGCCAAATGATTAAAACAGACTGGTTTGTGGTATGAATGACAATGTTAATAATCTGTCTTTGTGGTTTTTTCCCCTACTGTTTCAGCTGCGCAAACCATGCAGGATGATTTACTGATGGACAAAAGCAAAGCCCAGCCCCAGCAGCAGCGGCAGCAGCAGCAACAGCAAGATCCAAACTCAGCAGAAGCCCCCTCTACACCCATCTCGTCGGAGACACCCAAACCAGAAGACAACAGTTCAGTGACTAGTATCGGCACATCGGCTCCTTCCCAAAATAGCAAGGAGAAGATGCAGATGGAGTCTCCCATTTTGCCTGGCTTGAGCTTTCACCAGCCTCAACAAGAACCTGCAGCCGGCACCTCCTTGTCTCCCTCCTTTGGCAGCACCTGGTCTACAGGGACCACAAACACGGTGGATGATAGCTTTTTCCAAGGGATTACTCCAGTCAATGGGACAATGCTTTTCCAGAATTTTCCACATCATGTCAACCCTGTATTTGGTGGCACTTTCTCACCTCAGATTGGCCTAGCTCAGACTCAACACCACCAACATCAGCAGCAGCAGCAGCAAGCCCAGCAGCAGCAGCAGCAGCAGCGGAGGTCACCTGTAAGCCCTAATCAGGCACCTTTTGCCCAGAGGAATGCTGCTTACAGCCATCAACCCATCATGACCAGCAAACCGTCTTCCTCCTCTGCCTCTTCTTCTTCCTCCTCCAGCTGGAATAACCATCAAAATGCGGCTTGGAGTACACCTTCCAACCCTTGGGGTGGGCTGCAGGCTGGTAGGGACCCTCGAAGGGCAGTTGGAGTGGGGGTCGGCGTGGGAGTGGGGGTCGGCGTACCCTCCCCCCTCAATCCCATTTCACCCCTTAAAAAACCGTTCTCCAGCAATGTCATTGCCCCTCCGAAGTTCCCACGGGCCGCACCCTTAACCCCCAAATCCTGGATGGAAGACAACGCGTTCAGGACGGACAATGGCAACAATCTGTTGCCTTTTCAGGTAAATGACTGCGTGCACCTTCTGAACGGTGACAGCTGTCACAAATTTGTGGTGTTTGCAGGGGTGTATGTCACGTTACTGTTCTGAGAGGCATCTCCATAACTCGTATTTGCATCAAATCACCTTATATGAAAGAATTGGGGTTGAACCCGGGGTCTGCATACACAAAGATTTTCAATTTGGGCTTCAGGTTTATAGTCTCATTTTTCTTGTAACTTATTGTTATATGTGACAGGGCTCCTGTTTTTTGGTGTGTTTTTTTGTGGGTTTTTTTTGGTTGTTTTTTGCTCTTTTTTAGCATCTGAAAGGTAATTGCCTTCATGAAAACCAGATTTGGCAGACTACATTTTCCTGTGTTATAATTTTTTTTCATATTCTCCCATATGTGAGAGAATGGAAATGTTAAAATTGCTGGCTTCAGTTTTCTAACTGGGCTGTTAATTTTAACCAAAGATACTTCTTGACCTGAAATCCAGTTAATTATTTTATCACCACTGAAATAACTAATTGTCCTTCTGTTGGTGGGATTTAACGGGGGAGTCTGTTTGCATAAGGTATCCGTATGAAAAGCTGTGTACATCTAATATGTGCACCCTGCTGTTATATTCACAGTGGACGTTTTGAATATGAAGCAGCGTGGGTGTGTGTGGAAAGAGTGGCGTATCTGTCCTTTCCAGTAAGGAAGTGCCTAATACAATTGACATGATTTAGAAATGGCAGGGAGGTATTGTATAAAATAAACCATTTTATGCTGTTCAAAATATTTGCAGAGAAAAGAGACAATAGGACACGACCTTCAGAGCCATATTGCAATGGAGTCTATTTACTAGCTACATAGCTCTGAAATATTTAAAGCTGCAGTGCCCTTCACTGTTTTTTTTAATCTATGACGACAAAGCAGATCAATTGCAGCTGAAACTGGGCCACATAGAAGATTTGCAATTTTAATGCAGAATGAAACCTGTCATGGTGTGAAATCCATTTTAGGTTGAAAAAAAGCAGAGCGTGCACTTGCAGTTATCTCTTTACAAGATGAAGTGAATTTTTTCTGGGTTAGCTTTTTTAGTGTCAGACAAGTCAAAATTTTCTGCTTTGAAATACATTTAAATCATTCATATATTCTCGCTCTTTAGGTAATTGATTTTTCAACAAAGTATGAACTCTTAAACATTTTTAACTTACAAGTTTGGTAAGAATAGCATTTGGATTGACACTTAGTATTAGACAGTAAAAAAAGAAAATCAAACACACAACCCTCACCCCCATTATTTTTAGAGGCTGTTGAAGTAAAATATATGTTATCGTGTGTACTTTCCAGTCCCATTTGGAGAGGGCACCTTATAGTCAGCCCTGAAATTTCATTTTGCTGCTTCATTCTGTTTAAAGGGAGAGTTGCAAATTTTTTATTGGCTGCCCTAAATGAAGGCGGAGTGGCTTCTGGTGAACTGCTGGTTAATGCCTTGGGAGCACTGAAGTCTGGAGAAAGATTATGCTTTAGACACGATATGTCTGGTTCAAATAGCATGTTGCACAGAGAACAGCGACACAAAAGCTAATGAATATAGCTCCCAGTCGTTTTTTAGGAGTGGGAAATGTGTTTCAATTTACAATTATTCTTAATTGTCTACATATAAGGCATGACAAATTTTGGTATATTTGAATTAGTAGGGAAAACAACAGTAAGTGGTCTTATTTTGGTGGTTTGATTGTTGAGATACATCTTTGATGAATATACAAGTTTATTATTGTGACCATAAATTGTCTCAAATTAAACTGACAAATATTTAGTCATCACTAGGAGAAAAAAAAGTACAACAGCTTTTAAAGAAAAGTTCCTCTATTTTTTAAAAGGAAGGTTTTTAAAAACTAAGGTATTAGGCAATATATAAATTTGGACACTTGTTTTCTTCTCTGTGAATTTAACTTGGTGTTTTCAGGTTCAAGTGAAAGCAAATACTTAGACTACTCTCAGCACCAGCTGGTATAACAGTCTGATTTCAGAGACTCAGAAAACTTTTTTTTTTTTTTTTTTTTAATACAAGCTGCTGAATTTTGCTTACGAAATTGTGATCTGGGTTAATGTTAATTGCTGCTGTACTTAACAAATCGCCAAAGATGTCTTGAAACCATACTATTGATAGGAGGCAGTTGTTTAGTTACACGATAAAATGAAATGCAGATTAGTCTAAGAGTTTTAATGTTTGCTGCCAAGGTTCTGGTTGCCTTTTTTTTTTTTTTTTCCCCCTTCTTCCCCCCGCCCTGAAATTGGGCAATATGTTGACACAGTAAGTTCTGCTTGTCAGCATTATCAAGTAGTTCTGGCAGGTTTATCCATGTACATCTGCCACCCTTCAGAATGTGCGTTTTTGAGCTACTTCAGAAATACCTTCCAGTAAACTTTCTAGCAATACACTTTTGCACATTAGCAAGTTCCTTGTGTTAACCTGTTCTTTTATGGTAAGGTTATGAAGCTTCCTAAGTAAAAAGAGAACTATTAATATGTTCACTGTTTGAAATAACATCAGGAAGAGCTATTTTGTGGTTCAGGTCTTTGCAGTGATCAAAAATTTGAAGCAGAAAACTTCTATGACCAAGATTTTTGTTCTGGATCTGTAACACTCGAAGACAGTTGATACTCAGCCATTGATATATCTTGTTCAGGAAAAAGTGTTCAATTTGAAACTGTTTCTCTTAAGAATATATATATATATAAAGCAATATGATAGGTATCTTCATTGCTGAATTTGAGTAATACTTCAGTGCATCTTGTACGTCAAGACCAATTGGCGTCTGTCCTGAGGAGTTGTGCTGCAGAACATATCAGAAAATTTAAAATATTGGTCAAATATTATAATTTTTCTATTATATTTAAATATTCACTAGAAACTCTGCTGGTGTTTGCTTTGTGATTGGTGTTGAAAGGCAACTAGAAGGCCTTTCCTATGGAAGGGAGATTGCTTCCATATCCTTACTGGGGAAAAATTGATTGCAAGGTACGAAAAAAAAAGGAGATAAAAAGCTGGTCTTTAAAAGGCAGAGGAGAAGAAGTGATCAGTCTGGAGTGAAATGTAGCAGATAAGAGCTGGAGATGAGATCATGGGAACAGATGTGAAACTAAGCCATATGGGAGATACAAAATCGCAGCCAGTTTGTTGTTCTGAATCTTCTTTGGCTTCTGAGTGGTTCAGGTGAAGGTCCTGTGATGGTCATGTGGCGAGCAGTAGTGTTGTGCCATTGTGCCAGGTGATCCTTGTCTCTGGCTTGTGAGGCTGACATGAACTGATTGTCCCTGGGACACAGGCGACGGTTCAGTTCCATTTGATAGCAGAGTGCTGGGGCTTGAAGAGAGCTAATGTCATCTCGTGCTTCTGAGTTGCTCCCACGGTTCTTCTCTTTTCCTTCACTGCTCTCAGGTAAATAGTGTATTCCTTTCAGCTTTTGGCCATGTGAGGATATTGGGACACAGCCTCCTAACCAGGAGGATTGATAGTGCCTAAATAGACCCTTGGAAGCAAGGGTAAGAAATTCTCTTTACAATGAAAAAGATAGAGATGGAATTAAAGACCAATATTCTAACTAAGCATGTTTACCTCGTGGATTTTTAACTATAGTAGCACTGTAACAAATTTCCAGAAATTGTGCTAAGTTTTGCTGCTTTCCAAGTAACGTTCTTTAGAAACAATACAAAATGCATAGCAGTTTGGTGCTCTGAAGATTCTGGCATGCATCAAGTAATTCTTGGCAGCGTTACTGATAAATATTTCGCTAGCAGAAATAAATAAGGTGGTGTTTATTGTGTATAAAGATGGTTTTAACATGCTGTCTTTTGCAGGGAGACTGAGAAAGGTCTTTGGGGAGGTGTTTTGGTGTGTTGGGTTTTTTTTTCCTCATTGATTTTAATAGGAATTATTCTGGACCAAGTAAAATTATAAACTAAATTTAGAAATTATATATGACTTCAGTATTTTATACCTAAATGCCAATACCAACATGCAATGAGTTTGTGTATAAATATAAGTGTATATATACATAAATATTGAGTTGAAGTATTGGAACATTCACCAGTGTAACAAATACAGTTTTATATTTATGAGTAAAGGAGTCATACTGGCTAATACACTCTGGTGATTTCAATTTTAAAACCTTTGTTTAGATCTAGTGGTTTTTTTTCAACCAGAAATAGATGTATGCAATAAGTCTATTTGAAGATTGATTTTTTAAAACACTATATTTCTTTAGTTTAAATTTAGTGTTATGGGCTCTGGCTTCTTGACACTTTGGTAGGTAACCACAGTTAGTAATGTTACTGGTATCTTAAAATCTATTTCTCAACATGAAGTCCAATCTTAATCTTTCTTACATGATGACACGCAAGTACTGACAGCCTTCAACTTTATGGACAAAAAGAAAAAAAAAAGAAAATTGCCTAGGTCTGCTTTTTTTTTTTTTTTCCCTCCACCTCCTTTCTTACACAGTAAGTAGCAAGATTCTAAATATTAAAATGTCAGAATGCATGTCATGGTTTCTCAGTAGCCTTCCAGTGTAACAGATACAACTAACACATGACATTCTGGCCTTAGCAGTTATGAAGTATTTTACAGTTTCTTGTTAGATTTTAAATTTGGTTTCATTCTAAATGTCTACGTTTTCAAATGAACTGAAGTATGGTAACGCTACAGAAGAAAAAGTACATGCCTGATTTACATTTTAAGTATGATGATTTGAGCACTAATTACTTATTGATTAGTTTTAAATAACCAACTGAATCGTAGTTAAGCTGTTTAAGTTAGTGAAGGTAGAGCAAAGGTCTGAGTTCAGTATGCAGCTGATACTCTGATCAACTCCATATATAGGTAGCACTTTCCTAAAACCATTAAAGGTGTTAATATAGAACAATGAATCAAGGATTTTGTCCTGAAGATCTGATAAAGGTCTGTCTGTCTTTTCTTTGGGAGGTAAGGTAGAAGGGAAGGTGAAGGGCATGGCAGTTTATTTTGCTA